CCCCAAAACCCCAAAACCCCAAAACCCCTTTGATAAAATAAATAATTGAGACTACAAGAATTTGGCAACAATGGAACCAACAGAGATAGAGGAAGGGCCAGCCACAGGCCTTGTGGAGAGCTTTGAACGACTTGGTATTGGGGCAAGAATTTGGTAAATTTAGGTCTATCTGCAATAACTTATGCTTAAATAGCTTCACCTATATTTAGTCCAGCCATACAACCATGAAACTATACGAACAACTAGGTTGGCTAAAACTCTTGATTAGCTAGTCTTAGACCCATAGATTTGCTAAAACCTGTTCTTTGATTAGCTTCCTTAATACCAAATACCATAAAGAAGATCCACATTAAAGGCCTGGCCATGTTCAGTTATTTCCCATTTTCATTTGGCTGCTCAATTTATCCCGTATTCAGGCCAATGTGGACCCTCAAATTTGTGTGAATGATAGCTTAGGTCCACATTTGAGACTTAATAAAGCTATTCTTACAAAGTCCAAACCAGTTTCCTCATTTTGAGTTCCTCAAAATTGATTGGTATTTTAGCCGCAAGAGAAAAGCCCACGAGACAGATTTAGAGGAACTTAAAGGTATTTCAACTGCTAAGGATAGCTTTAATGTCTTCTAGGTTAAAGCATTTTTTAGATGATCCACTTCGGTAAATTTTAGGATAATGAGCAATAATTCTGTGATACTTACAACTCCTTGCCTGATTAGAGGCTTACAACGCCCTGTGGAATTCATGAGAACCTTTGGGAGCGGAATTAACACCTAGAGACTCTGTTTAGCTAATCTTAGCTTTACAGAATCAACCTTTAATCTAATAATTATCTTCAAATTCCAGCTTCTCTAACCTAATTCTCAAATTTGTGTGGCTCTTCCCACCACTATGCTGTATAGACTTTAAGCCAAAGAGAGCCATTGAGCTTCTAGAAGAAAAAGGTTCTTCAGAGGCTAAAAGTGAGATTTCAGATGATACTGTTATGGTTGACTTACAGAAAGGTATGGGTAGAAGCAAGCAGCATTTTGACTTCCTCATCTTTCATCAATTTAGATATAAATCTGACATTTTAGTTCGACAAAACATCAGAGAAATCCAAGCATCAAGGAAATCTACCGGAATCCAAGAAGACTGTGAAATGGAGGATGATAAAGGTATTTCTCACTCAGATTCAAAAATTTTCGAGATGTCAAAGAAGGCATGGTCCAGGCTTCCATATTAATATCTTTATAGAATCGACCGAGAAGGAGAAGTACAAGAGGAAGCTATTTCAGAAATATCAAAGGCAATTCAGTGAGTATAAAAACCAACTGAAACCATATAATAGTCAATACGAGTATACTGAATGCGATGGATACATTCAAAAGTAACCACCAGTATCAAGAGATATCACACGAATATGTGCGATCTTTGCTATTCAGACTCATCTAGGGGCATCCTGGGGTTCTCTCATAATTTCGAATAGCTAAAAACTTTCAACTTTAAGGTGAATTTAGGGGTTTTGGGGTTTTGGGGTTTTGGGGTTTTGGGG